TACCGGATAGCTCACTAATAACTACACGTTTCAGTGGAAGGGCCACATAAATACATAATAAAAGTGTGATGAACAATTTGGTTTTCTTAAATATTTGCGCATATGGCCTTTTAAACAAATAAGGAATTGTCAATTGCTGTAAACAAAGTGTACGTGCAATTCTTCAACTTTTCCCGTTTCCCTGCTTAGGCTACATGTTTCGTGTGAAAGCAGTTATTTTTTAATGTTAAACACAAAAAGAATTTTAAGTGTTCAAAATAAAATACTTTAGAGGCAGTCTGGAACATATTGTCACTGAAAAGTTGCTCCTGAGCAAAAAATGTTCTTCATCCTCGAGAATAAAGAAGTTTGACGGAAAAGTTCTCGATTACCGATCCTCAAGTGGATGTGTCATGCATTCGATTTCATCTGACACAAGGGGGTGTATGTCAAAAATAACGATAGCTGGCAGCAATCGCGCGTGCATATGGTGTCGTTTACCTGCACGCGCAATGCTTCGCCCTCGCGCTGTATACATGGCGCAGCTACAGTAGCTCCTGCAATCACCTTCGTCCACAGCAATTTCTTTCTCAAATGGAACATCACTATTACAATGATTTGTTAAACTTATATGAATAGAACAAGCAAATTTCTATTTGCTTCCATTGAACGCTTAGGCTTATACAATAATTTGTGGACGCCAGTGGGAGCCACTGCTTGTTCTCAGGGAGCTGCATTAATTTTCGAAGAAATGGAGGCCTAATTAGCCTCAAGTGTGAAACCATTTCGTAATTTTTTTGGTGATAGCAGCGCTCTTCCTATATCAAGCTCCTTCTTATTTTTGTATAATGATCGGAAATTTGAAAAACTGAAAAAAACGCACTAGACTCTACCGAAAAGCACATATCATCTAGCACTCTAGAAAGCATTCCATCTCCTCAACTCTTTTCTCCCTCTACCCCGTCCCCTTCCTATCTCTCTCAGCTTCTTACATCAGAAAACAAAGTGCACTCCTTGGAGCATGGATTGGGGGCAAGCACATCTCCCGCTCATTTCCCACTTCCCTCCCTCCTCGCTCTTAAATATACTAGAAGAGAGCTAAGCTGCCGCTCATGCATACAAACTTTTCGAATACAACTAAGCTCAACTTCTTATAGGACGCCCTCCACTCATGATAGATCATCTCTTTTTCAAAAAACATTCAAGAATAAATACTTTTTGGTATTAGTAGCGCAGACCATAGCTCATACTATAGCATATGCATGCAGAGTTTAGGGAGATCTAAAAGTGCAGTCCCATAACTTCTTTGAATCTCCACATTTGGTAATTGTAATCATGTAAATGCAAGACTCTAACCAAAATGCATGCGCATAAATTCCGATAGTCTTTCGTCAATGCATGATCAGCTTATAAACTCTCCTCTATCAGACTCTCAAAAGTTATTACTTCCTACTGACGGTCGGAACTCGTAGATAATATCATGGAGCTCTACACAAATGGTATTCGCTGGTGCAAGATTTGACAGTTGGGCTGGCAGTACCCTCTGTTCCAGCTGGAAACTCGTTTACGTCACCGTTGCAAAAAGCGGCGTCTTCATGTAGCAAAAAACTTTTTTTGCGGGTTTTTCGTTTATATTCAGAGCTTAAACTTGCAGCCACTCGAAATAGGAATCCGCTGTGCCCACATCTTGACAAAGAAGCTTCATTAATATGCCCGTTTTATCTTAACAAAGCCATCATTACATTTCTCTGGAGGTATTCCGCTTTCCGCTCCGTCTGCCGCCTTTCCTATATCAAGAGTTGGTTATTTGTTTAATAGGCACGTATACAACTGCAGTAGACTGTGATTACGAATAGATTTCCACAAACGTTTAGAACGTATTGATTATTTAAACGAAATAGGTGAACGCGAAATTTTATTGAATGGAGAACAGACTCTATATAGGAAAAACTGGATCCTAAGTTGTGATCTGGCTGAAACGTTGGCGATTCTGAACTTGCTCCTCTTGTTGGATGGGATTGCAGAATGGAAATTAATATTCAATTATTTTTTAAGGATTTTATATACATAATTAGATCGTTTCTTTTTCTTTTTTCTTCCAGAGTTCTGAGGCCGAATAGCTTGATGTTAAGTAAAGAAAGGAATTTCAAAAAGGAGTCTATAGGATGATTATTTTCTAGTATAACTATTTCGAACCTTCTCTAGAGTCAAGATGTCTTGCTTTTTGTGAAAGAAAACAGTATTTATCGTTTCCACTAAATGGCAGACGTAATTTTATAGGCTCTGGTAGGAGATGTATCATGCGAGCGGAGTGCTTGAAAATATTGTATGTTTGTTGCAAACTTTTTTTTATATCAATAATCTATGGCGGTCAAAGTTCAGTTATACTTAATTACTTAGATACTTAGACGGACTGTCTTCACCTGTCGTGCAGCACCACTGTTTCCATCCGTTTGTCTCTCGCTAGCTCATCCACGATGTTGGTATTGAGGTGCGGCGGCGACGTTCGCGAGGTCCATATCCATTACTCGTTACCAACTGAGAATTCAGCTGGTCCATCCGTGCCACGAACACGTCAGCCCATCTGATCGATGGCCTCCCTCGAGGACGTTTTACTTCGCGAGGGATCCATTCTAGAGTTTTTAGTGTCCATCTGTCGTCT